GATAGAATGGGTTATTTATGCAACAACATATACTCGTGTGTATGTGTACAGACTACGAATCACACATTTTCACATGTATTTTTTTTTTAATAAAAATATATACACGCGTCGTAGAGTCGATACGCGGAGGCAAGATGAAGCGGTTTTTGTGCCTCAGTTGCAGAGGAAGAACGCAAAGAGAGACTAAATGAGCTACTGGCGCTGCGCTGTTCCTCCGCGAAAGTCTTTGTTGCTCACATCGCTCAAATCGGTGCAGGGTAATGGTAACTCGCGTTAAGGACGTATTGTAGTCGCGTATCTTTGCCAAGCTCGGCGACTAATGCGGGCGAATTACGCGGCACATCCGAGCTTCGGTTTTGTCACGACTACTACGGGCGCAGCTTGTCAGCTAGTACTTTCAGACGAGAGCACGCGACGTAAACTCGTTATTATCGTAACACGCGAGGCCGCGCCGATGGCAAACGTTCGTTCGTCTAAGCCGGCTGCCATAGTTGCATAGATACGTTTAACGCGTTATTCCGAATAAATCGCATTTTACGACTTTCACTAGCATATTTCAGATTTGTACCGCAAAAATACGCCTCAGAACTTACATTCCACGGTCCGTAATGCAAAACCAAATTCTACATCCAGATATATCAGGTAAATATGACAGGTCAATGGATAAGCGGAAGAAAGAAAGCGAAGAAGAGAGGATTTCGTATATTATATATTAGTCGAGTCGAAATTTTGGTTTAACTTTCACATTGCAAATTTTATCGAATTTAAAATTATACATCCAATAATATTGTGAGAAAATAGATATTTTAATATTTTGGATAAGCGAGAGAGAGACAGAGAGGGGGGGAGAGAGAGATGATTTCACACTATTCGAGTCGTTTGGTTTAACATTAACTCTGCAAATTTCATCAAACATGAAATTGTATATCCAATAATGCTGTGCAACAATAGATATTTAAATATGGAATTGTTATGATATTAAAGTTAAATTAAGAACTGAAGATGAAAAGCAGATTTAATATGAGACTCGCGTCTCGTGAGACTCTTGCTAAATTTTAAATTTCGACTGGGATATTTCTTTAATTCCTGTAAGTCCGCCGATTAAACGTCGATTAAAATCAGAAAGATTTCGCGTAATAAGCAATTTTTCGCACATGGAAATATATGATGGTCGCGCCGGCCGTGTTGTACTTGCACCCTTCGTCGTGGTTTCTCGGTATATAGCATCATACTCTTGGCTGCACCGTCGTTCCGGATACACATTTGTGACACTGGCACTCGCGCAGTTGGGGAGAAACGCGTGTTTTAATTAACGCGATGCCGACGAGAGCTTGATTAAATGTTTTAAGAGTCGGCGCGAATGATAACTAACGTAGCGACCATACACGTACTTCGCTTTGCAACACACGTTCATCCCTCGTCCTTCGCGAAACGTCATGACTTGGTTACGGGAAAATATACACGACACATATAACTCAACAAAACAGTATAAGTGTCTAAAACACATCTCAGAGACACTCTGAAGACGTTGAAAACAGTCAAACATCTTTAACAAGTAAACCTACCTAAAAGGTACATTTCGATTTCTTTCTAATTACGCACAAATGTAGAAGTACAAGAAATATTTAGATCATATTTTTTCATTTTGGCTCACTTTGAGTTTCACAGACAGTTTATAACTTTTTAATGTTCTCACTCCTATTATCAACAAAAAGTAAAACAAAAGTAAAGAAATAAAATTGAATACAAGATATAGTTAAATAATTCTAACAAAATTAGCATAGCTGAGACACGAATCATTCTAAATTTCTTTAGCCGAGATTCCAACTGAAATATTTCAAATCTATGCTATATTAGTAAAAAATGGTTCGAATCTCGGCCAAACCAAAAAATTATTTGTATAAATAATTTTTTTCAACTTTTTACATGTTTTGTTTAAATATTTTATTATTTATACAAATAATTTTACACATTTAACTTTATATTCTTAATTAGCAAACCAAAAACACCTATATTTTGTATTCAATTTTATGTCTTATTCATTTTTATTGCACTTGTTGATGAAAGGAATGAGAACATTAAAATGTTATAAACTGCCTGTGAAACTTAAAGTAGGCCAAAATGAAAAAAATATGATCTAAGTATTTTTTGTACTTCTACATTTGTGCCAAATTAAAAAGAAATCGGAGTGTAACTTTTAGGTAGGTTTACTTGTAAGATGCTCTTTAGATATTTATTCTGCGTCAAAGTAAACGGCGAAAATTGATGTTTTGTCAATATCGTCAACAGTCGTCACTTTCCAATCAATGACGCACACCTTCGGTAACAGAGCTTGCAATCAATCAACAAAACAACCAACATGTTTTTTTAAAACATTATCGACTTTTAGAACAATCAGAGCCATTAGGACAATGCCTAGTTTCTCGTTACATTAAATTTGGCGTCGTCAAGCGACGCGGAATATACGTGTATTGATGTGAGTTATAATTCCCGTCGGATATGATTAAAGTGTTTTAATGGTTCTTAAAATATTTGATCGAGTTCTCTCCTCGTCATCGTGTTAATTAATACATGTTTCCCTTATCAGCTTTAATTTTTTTCTTTGATGGTTCCATCCGGTGGATGCTGTATCGGTAAAATCTGTATCTTTTTTCGAACAATGCAGATATTGTGTTAAAATCTATATACAAGTGTGGACTCTCATATGTTAAGCTCTGATTTATTTCAAAGATTTCCTTTCTTTTCTTACTTTTTTTTTATCAAGATTGACTTTTGCTATTCTCTTTCACGTCTGTTTAACTAATGAAAACGTTTCTTATGACGGATCTGATGCTAAATAAATTCTAATTTACGCAGAGAGTACAGAGATGCGTAAATAATATGTTCATCAAAATATTATATATATATATATATTAAAAAAAAATATATATATTAAAATATATTATTTAGAAATATATTTATGTCAAAAGAGTGAATTTATCATTCTCTCTGTCACTCTGTTTCTCTCTCTCTCTCTCACTTTGCCTGCTTCTATTAAAATCAAATTATATCCATTATAATATTTATTAAAATTATTAATATATTTATTATACTGATTACATATATTCTATCTGTAGTTAAGTGAGAGACGTAATCAATATATTGTGCTTTGAAATCAAGAATAAATATTAAATGCATATGTTGAAATAGCTAAATATTGAAATAATTCGAAATTTTTTATAGGTTTTTCAAGTTTGATGGAAGGTAGTGTTAATGTAGAATTAAAATTTTGAATCGGATAATTGCAAATAGATGTTCATAATTACGTGGTCTTTGGATCAACGATTCCGAATTATATTTTAATGTGAAATTATTTGTTACAATGGAATATGCGTCTCTTAATATATAAACATGAAAATTTTACCCTTTTTACTGACATATAATTATTTAATAAATACGGTATATGACTTGTTATGCTTTAATTTTTACATTAAATGTAACAGGACTTTTAACACCATAAAAACATATTTCTGAATTTATAAATATATAATAGTCCGATCAGTTTAACGACGTATTACAAACTGACTCGCATTTCCACGATACATGTTGCGTATTGATTAATGTCCGTTGCCGAGTAACGATTAATAAAATGCATTTACCGCGCGCGTTAACAACCACTCGTACACGTAATAATACCACGATACTATAATTTGCGTGGAACTTTTGGATAATTCAAGTTGAGAGTGTGCTCAGAATGCGCGTGTATAATATCATGACAAATTAAAAGAAAAACACACACACACACACGTACACAGTCGCTCTGCTACGAGTGTGAAATTTAAATCAACGCGAGAGAAAAATCTCATCTGCTACAGGGATCAGTACAATCCTGACGCGCATTGAACGACGTCTCGCCCGAAACTAACTAGACCGGACTGTACGAAGGCCGCGATCCGTTACACGCTCCCGCGAGCATTATTCTATCTTTGTTTAACATCCAATGAGCAACAAAGATAGAATAGCTGCGTTCAGCAGAACTTAGCGCTTTGTAAACGATTTAATGATACATTGCACAGTTTAGATGTTCTGCTGAACGTTCTTTGGGAGCAGCACTATATATATAAATAAATATATATATATATATATATATATATATATATATATATAT